TGCCCTGGGGAATTCTGGGAGTTGAAGTCCACTCATCTTAAAGTGGCCAAGTTTGGACAACACTGATATCAATGAACTGACCAGATGGCAAGGGGAAGCTCGCAGGCAGAGCGTTCCTTCATTCCAAAACATAGTTCTCAAAGTAAAACATGATAGACCGTTTGAAGTCATCTTTACAAATTCAAGGAATACTTGGTAACAGAGGTTGCAGTAAGAGGGCTTGCTCTCAACCTGTACAAAATACAGCACACTTTGTGAGCAAGATATTTGTGACGTAGGTCACAAAGTATCAGACAGCAACGTAGTCACTTTCTTCCCCAGGGCACATTCATCTATATTTCATAACTGACTGAAAGGGTCAAAGGCTAAGGTTTTCTATACAGAGGGGGACTTTTTGGGCCAGATTCAGCTTCCACAAGAGTCCATAGCAGAGCAAGAAAAGGCAAGCCACCCCTCCCTGTATCTGATATCAGCCACATTTAAGTACTGTCAACGTGCCCGGGTTTTCTTTCCCCAGTACAGCACCTTAAGAGTCTTTAACTTAACTTTTAAATATGCTGTATTGATTTAAAGCCACTGGGAGTTTTTTGTGACCCCAGCAGGATATAAAGCTGATACACAAATAAATAATATACAAAAAAAGGAAAGGGCTAAAGACTCGCAACACAACAGAACGTATTTTAAACAAACACAAACCACCTCCACAAAATCTAGCGTGTTTAGGATTTGTGTTGGAAAAAATGTAATATTCCCAGAAGAAAAGTCAGTCTTGGTTACAACAGACTAAAAATAGCTATCTTGATGAAGATTTCTAAAAGTCAGAAGGGTTGCCTAAAAGAGGGAATCAGCAGCCCTGGGGACATACAGCTTCCAGTGATAACAGGCCTGGTGCAATCTGAGGATAGGAAACACATTAAGAGTATCACAAAAATAATGATACTTTTTAAATGATTGTATATTTTATTTTATTTATTTGCTTTTGCCATGGATCAGTAGGAAAACTGAGGGGTGGCCTGCATCACGTGCCAAAGAAACTTAGCCGACAGTTCTCTTTGCATTTGGTGCTCTGTTCTAGACTATTTTAGGCCAGCTGTGAAATTCAAGGACTCCATCCTCCATTACAAAATAAGCTTACATGTTATTATCCTGCTGACAGTTGCCAGCTGTGTAGGAAAGCTCTTCCTGCTTCAAGCAGCCAATGCTGGTTTGAGCATGACTTCTACCAGCCCAGTCCCTTGTGTGTACACATCCTAGCTACCAATGGCTACCAGGTACATGGTTAAATGCAAGGTAGCTCTATGTATACTTCTGCCATACCTATACACAGAATAGTTGAACACAAGTCGTAGCATGTGTAACCACGGTTTTACTGAACAGAATTGGTTGAGTGCACGCACAACACACCAGCACAAGGCCAAATAAGCCACAATTTGGCTTAGCATGACTTGAAAGAGCCAGTTTGGGGTAGCGGTTAAGGCATCTGGCTATAATCTGGGAGACTAGGCACGCCCTTAGGCACGAAGCCAGCTGGGTGGCCTTGGGCCAGTCATTCTCTCTCAGCCCAAGGAAAGAGGCAATGGCAACCCACTTCCGAAAATCCTTGCCAAGAAAACTGCAGGGGCTTGTCCAGGCAGTTGCCACACTGACTTGAAGGCACCAAAACAAAACCAAAAAAACTTGAAAAGTTGGCCACACATTAGCACCCTGGTTCATTTGTTTAGATTTATACCCTACCCTTCCTTCAAGAGATCAAGCAGCACACACAGCACTCCCTCCTCCATTTTTTCTCCCCCAGCAACCATCCTGCAGGGTAGGTTTTGTTGAGAGCAAGCCAGTGGCTCAAAGTCACAGGAGGAGCTCTCAGACGGACTTGAACCTGCGTCTCCCCCAGGCCTAGCACAACTCCTCAGCCACCACTCCGCTCCTCTCTCACCTCCTTTGCTTCCTTGGCCTCTTGCAGGGGGATGGTGGTGCACGTCTTGTGAGAAACCAAGCAAAAGCAGCAGATGCAGCCACCGTGATTCTGGCAGAAGAACTCCAGAAGCTTGTTATGGGACTGGCACTTCCTCTGCTGAAGTTTCTTCACCGGCAGGACCAAATTGTGGCCCTTGAACGCTGGACTCTCCAGGTGAGGCCTCAGGTGCTCCTGGCAGAAGGAGGCCATGCAGGTGAGGCAGGTCTTGGCCGCCACCGCCTCCAGGCAGCTGTCGCAGGTCACTGCGGGGGTCCTCGGCGCGGCAAGGCTGCTGTCAGCGTTCCCCGGCTTCTCGTCCCAAGTCCCTTTGCGAGGGCCGTCTTGACTGACCTGGAATTGCTCCACCACCTTGCAGAGCACCGTATTTTTCTTCAGCTGAGGACGGGTTTCGAAACAAGCCCTGCACTGGGGACAGCTGAAATTTGTCTGGAGATCCGTCCAAGTCATCTCCAGGCAAGGCAGGCAAAAATTGTGGCCGCACGGCGTAGTGACCGGGGTCTCAAAAACACACAGGCAAATGGAGCAAGTCAGTTCATCTTCCAGCCCAACCAGACCAAGCGTCTTCACCAGGCTAGCCATGGCTGTCGCGCCTGAGCGAAGTCGCCGCTTTACATAAGCGAGAGAGGAAACTGAAACTCTCGCAGAACGGGCGCTTTGCGAATTTCCTAGAAATCACGTGGGCGGGCGGGGACGCGTGTGCACGCAGCGAGGAGTCGGCCGATAAACCTGTGTAAACGGAAAGGAGCTTCTCCCATTTGCCGGAAGGTGATCTAATCACACCATCGAGAGGGGGTTGCTTGCTGGTTCTGCTTCCGACCCCCCCCCCGGCCCACTAAATATATGCATAGAAGCGAGCTGGACTGCGCAAGTACAGCTGGCTTTGCTATCCCCGGGAACAGCCTCCTCCTTTTTTAATTCGGGAATTCGCAGAGAGGTCTGGTTTGCTTCCGAGGGAGCTGGCTTGAATTAGGTGGCGCCCACTCTGCCACAAGGGCATGGAAAATGCAACCGCCCTCAGCGAGAATGTTTATCAGAAGGAAATGTTGTTGAATGTAATGGGACGTCATCCCAAGGATGGCGGAAATGGCCGTGTTAAGGACCAGGGGCCTCACTGGGGCAAGGCTGGGAGGATGCGCTATGCGCCTTCGGAATGCAGTGGTGGTTTGCAAGTGTCGATGGGCAAATCCGGAAGATTAAACTCAGTCCCCTCGATACCGGGAAACAGGGACGATTTTTTCCATGGGTTGAGGACGTTGAATATTTTCCGCGTTAAGTGCACGGCGGGTGTGCAAGATGCAGGGGTCACGTTTGGTGAATGGATCGCATGGGACAAACAATACCGCGCAGCTGAAACTTAAAAGCCAACCATTTCCTGGTCAAGTCAACCGACACATTTAGCTTACGACCAGCAGCGGGGGCCCCAATCCCTGTCCCTTTATGTATCAAATGTAGAATGAGCAATTGTAAAAAAGCCGAGAGAGGATGATTATGATGGCTATTTGTTATTTCCAAAACTGAAGGAAATAAATATGTACTAATTCTTGGAATCCCACATGGGAAACTGAGTGGGTGTTCTGCTCCTGCCCCGTTTATGGGTTCTGGGGCATCTGTGGAAGCAGAACGCTCATTCGGCTTACCTGTGACCTGATCTACTAGGTCATGTTGTGTGTACTTAGGAACTAACTCCAAAAGAAAATATGCTGCCTGCGCAAAATAGATGTGAGCTTTGCCCCTCTCAACTCACTGGCTGAACATGGCTTCTGCATCAGGAGGGTTGCAGAGTCTTTCCCTGGCGTCTCCCCAGAGGGCTTGAAAAATCCTGCTTTAAGCTCTAAAGAGTTGCTGTCTTTCAAGGGTGAACAAAGCAGGTTAGAGAGACCAAGGTTCTGACTTGGAATAAGGGAACTCCCAAAGTACATATATGTTCTGCTGGAGGTACGCTTGCTGGTCATAAGAAATCAGCAGCTTCAGCGGACTCTGAATGAAGCAGGTTATCTGGACCTGTTTCAGTCAGAATTCAGGCCCGTCCAGTCAGATGGAAATAGCATCGGTCGTGCTTTTGGATGATCTCTGGCGGGAGCAGGATGGAAGTAGTGCATCCATCCTGGCTCTACTTGACCTGTCGGTGGCTTTTGATACCATCAATCATGGTATTCTTCTGGATCAGCTCTGGGGATTGGAAGTGGGTGGCACAGTATTGTGCTGGCTCTCTTCCTTCCTCAGGGGCTGATACCAGTCAGTGTTGATTAGGAGAGATCCCGCCCACGGCCCCTACTATGTGGGGTGCCACAGGGTTTGGTGCTCTCTCTCCAGTCCTGTTTAACATCTACATGAAACCACTGGGGGAGATCATCCATCGCCATGGGATGAGGTATCCCCATGATGATACTCAATTATATATTTCCACCCTGGTGTATTAAGCAGTTCTATGAATGTCCTGTCCCCATGCTTAGAGGCTGTAGGGGTCTGGATGGGGAACAACAGACTTCAACTGAACCCTGGCAACATTGAGTGGCCTTGGGTTTTAGGGCCTTTGGATCTGGGTCTTTACCATCTTTGGTACTGAGTGGGATGGCACTGCCCCAGACAGACTTGGCTTGCAGTCTGGGGGTCCTTCTGGACTCGCAACTCCTGCTTGAGGAGCAGGTGGCAGTCACGGCCAGGAGGGCCTTTGCGCAACTTCATATTGTGTGCCAGTTGCGCCCGTTCCTGGATCGTGAGGCTCTGCTCAGTTACTCATGCCCAAGTCACCTCCCGTATGGACTATTGTAACGTGCTCTACATGGGGCTGCCCTTGAAGAATGTCTGGAAGCTTCAACTGGTGCAAAATACAGCAGCATAGGCAGTTATGTGTGCCCCTAAGAGGACACACGTTATATGCCTGCTTCGTGAGCTGCATTGGTTGCCAGTTTGCTTCCGGGTGCAATTCAAGGTGCTGGTTTTGACCTTTACAGCCCTACATGGCATGGAGCCAGGTTATCTGACGGACTGCCCCTTCCCAGTTACATCTACTCATCCCATGAAGTCTGGCAGGAGAGGCATGCTGCGGGTCCTGTCCTCAAATGAGTTCCATCTAACGGGATCCAGGAGACGAGCCTTTTCTGCCCTGGCACCTGCCCTCTGGAACATCATCCCTCCTGAGGTGAAGTTACACCCAACCCTTATTGCATTCCAGAAAGCCTTAAAACGTGGGTTTTTTTCCCAACAGGTTTGGGGATCCCCGGGGATATGGAGCCCGTGTGTTGGCTGTGTTGTACGAGATATTCTCTCTTGTGTTTTGTTTTTATCTATGCTTACTGTTTTAATTGGTTTTCTAGTAGGTTTTATTGTACACCACCCAAAGTCACTTCATGTGAGATGGGTAGCCATATAAATTTGACAAACGTATTTGAAAATAACCCATGATTATTTGTTGGCACTGCTCTGTATCACTAGCTTTTATACCTTCTCATTTTAATAATATTTCAACAGAACTGTATATAAACTTATATTTTGGGTGGCGTGTGCGTGGGTAGCCCCAGTTTAAGAATGAGTTGTTCCCAAGATCTGTCCTTAAGTCAAATTTGTATGTAAGCCAGAACAGTATTATTCAATATTGTATAATATTGTATACAGTCATGTGAAAAAGAAAGTACACCCTCTTTGATTTCTATGGTTTTACGTATCAGGACATAATAAA